TGCAGCTTGCGAGGGTCAAATCAGCAAATGGTTTTGAAATTGGCTTTATGGCGTGGCCATTTGGGTATGTGGCATCATTTACAGAAAGAAGGAGGAATGGTTCCTAGCTAATTTTGAGAATGAATGGTAATTTCCAGGAGGTGTGCTGCGCTTTACTTTAACTCGCATTTTCTCAGGACCTTCAACTACTCATTGGCAGCATTTTCTGACCCTGCTGAAGAGGTATTGCAGGCTATCTTTCATTTTAGGCTCACGTGATAGATCCCCACATGCTCTATATTAATTTGGTATTCCCCACTGCGCATTCTATATTCATGTGTCCCATATCAACATGGAGGTTTTTTTGGCGCGTAAAGCCTCTGTAATAGCTTGAAATTAATATAGAAGGGAACTATGATGATTGGACCCATCGTCGTACATAATGGCACTGTAGAGACGCCTGTGTGATTCATTTAGAGCACGAGACGCCGATGTGCACTGAAATGGTGAAGCCCGCGCGTCTGTAGGGTCGTGTAGAAAGAGTCGAAAAACGTGAAACCTATTTTCCTCCTACGGAAGTCATCCAGGTCTTAAATATGAAACCAGCTCGCAGAAAGACGCGACATGACATACACGATCACGTGCTTCTGTGTGTTTGTTTGAAAATATAGCGCTTGATAACATACGCCAAGGAAAATACGCATCACCAACTAGCCCCGCAGCGTGTTGTGATAAACGAGAAGCCTCGTGGTGTTGCGTCCTCTGGCCGGACATTTCGCAGCGACACCATTAGGTGTCGACACACACCTGTGAAAACTGCTACCGACATATGTCGACCAAGCTCGCTCACGTAAGCAGAGACCGTGTTAAAGTATTCGCTTTTGAGCTTTCCGACTACGGTGTGATACTGTGCAAGAGTTCACTATTACACCACCCGTTTTAGCACTTTCTGATCGGCTGTAAGTTTGAGAGAAAATGAACAAGCGCTCGTCGGAACGAACGCTCTTTATCCAGACGGCGATCTCTATCCAATGAGCGCACGCTGAAATTGGCTGTCCATTAATTGGACTCTAGGGGGATGGGTCGTTAACGTAGCCCTCTTGCACAACAGAGATATATATCTATAGCGCCTGGCTCTAGAGTGTTTGTTTTCGCAGTCGTTCAGTCTCTAAAAGGGCAGTATCAGAATTTGACTGTCTTCTCCTTTGGAACTCGTTGTGTCGGCTTCGTCTTCACTATTGGTCGTCCTATGCTTCGTTTCCTCCTTTCCAACTTTGCTTTTGCTTTCACTCTCTTTTGATGTAGACAATTATCGCCATCATCATCATCTTCACCGTCGTCATCATCATCATCATCAACAACAATGATAACGAATATATTAACATTCATAGTAGTAATAATAAGAATAATTAAAGACGTAAAACTATTTTACTGGTGGCCTTTTCAGTCACAGTTCGCATGAAAATCATAACGCCTCCTATAGACTTGTTCTGTGGTTGTAGGTTCATATCACGAGAAGGATGTTTATCAGTTTTGTTCTTTGTTGTTGGTAGTCGTAAGCACTAACGTGTGGAGAACGATCTTTACAAGCTACTGCTTCGTGATACTTACTGTTTGAGAACTCACGCATGAGTATTTAAGCAGCTCCGCTTTTATTGTTTTGTTTTTAGCCTATCGAACCTGCGTCTAGAGCAGACATACCTAATCTGAACCCCAGTTTTATTAATTAACCCCAATTTTAATATCTTTCGGTGGGGCCATGAGAGGATCATGACAGGTTAAGTGGCGTGTAGCTGATGGCAAGAAGCGAACACCGGCGGCAAATATGCGGTAAGAATGGTATACAGCGAAAGCTCGTTAATTCGACTGGCGTTTTTTTTTTTTTTTCAGAAAATCGGATAATTCGGACGCGTCTTCACGTACCGGTGAGCATACGCATTGTCTGATGCTGTCAAACGTTCCTTAATATGGGCGTATTTGGCGGGAACCTGGCTGATTCAGAGGATCCTCAGATGCTCCCAGATAGAAGTGCACAAAGATGCCACTCAAAGAAGCTAAATAAAGCGTTGGTGAAAGGCATAAATGCATGGCGGTGGGCTTTCCGAAAGGCCTGGTCGCCATCCAGAATCGTGTTCTTGGTACTTAATAACTAACAAAGCATGGATTAAGAGCTGGTTTCGGCTTAATACGTAGGGTCTTAAGCTGTGGTCATATTGTGTCGTCGCGATTAAGGGAGGGGGAAGCGGACTCGCAGCTTATTGTTTTTTTTTTGTTAAATACGTGCTGGGTTTACATATCAAGAAAATTAAAGTGTGATGGTGTAGTAGACGTTTGCTTAAAGTTTTCTTGATGCTTTAGACAATTAGACATTTCCCTAATTCGGACAGTACTTCCGGCCCGTTCAAAATACGATTTAACGAGCTTTTACTGCATAAACCACTTGACTGGGGACGAGTGGTTGAATATGAGAAAGCACGCTGTTCCTGCCTGTTATCTAGCCCTCTTGGCTACCCTCTGGTCTTTCTATGGAGGAAGGTACAGTGTTGTGCCGTCTGTGTTTGGGCGTAGCCTTCACCAATGCCAACTCATTCGAGATTAGAATGGCCGACAGCGCGGAGTGGAACTACTGCGGCGTTGATGGTACTATTGAACACAACTTATTTTACTGCCCGGCATACACAAACGAGAGGCTTCACCTGCGCAGTGCTCTAAATCAACTGGGCAGAAGTGATTTCACTGTTGAGAAAGTATTGGGACCATGGCACTGCCCATCGCAATTCTAAAAGGTAACGAAAGCGCTATAGCGTTTTCTCAAAGACACCAGTCTGTTTCATCGTTTGTGATGTGAAACAGTTACGCATTGGCTCAGTCAGTGACTTTTTCCTTCTCCTCTATAACTTTCCTTCCCCCTCCCCTTCCCCAGTGCAGGGTAGCCTACGGTGGCTCAGCCCTGGTTAACCTCCCCGCCTTTCTTCTTATTTTCTCTCTCTCTCTCTCTCTTGTGATGTGCCAGTGAGCCTCAGAAAACCGCGCTGTTCATGCTATAGGAGGAGGTTGCACGCTATGAAGTCGTTCTGTCCACCTGACAAACACACTCCCCTCCCCCCCAACTCTCGCACTTTTCCCCTCTGACAGTGAATGCGATCGTGGCCTGGAAGATTAGGTTGATAACAGCTTAACAGCTTTCCTTTTTGGCAGCCATCTTGTTGTGCAGCAGTTGACATAATGTTATCAACTTATACTGTATATTACGCACTTTAATCTAGTATACTACGCACTTTAGTTGAGCATGCAAGTTGAGCTAGTTGGTGGAAGTGTCTATATTTATATGGTTTTTCGCTGCACCAAAAACACTGTTCAGTGTTCTTCTCATCCTCTGTTGTCCGTGTTTCTAAATGTGTCAAAACTGATTCAAGACGGAGTTTCATCTAGGACCTCTCTACAGTACACAAAATTAGCACGTTTCTTATGTTTGATTCATCCACACATCTTCTTCAACGGTCTATATATTTTTTGTTCGTTTTCCGTTTGCCCGTGACCTGCAAACCGGGGTGTTCCTTCTTGCATTACCTGCAAAGTACCTGGTGGATGCAAAACCAAGTTTTATAAATATAAACGCCACATGACAAGTTAGAGTGTGGCAGCAATGCAACGAGTGAAAAATTTCTGTTTCGTTTGACCTTATTTGTTGAGCGATCCCTTGTTATTACTAAAGCACAGGGACTAAGTGCATTTTGTGATTATTGTCCACGTCTTTACCGTGCTAGCCATTATGCAAGAAAAGAGGAGTACTCAGCGCCACACCGAAACAATATACTTAATAATAGTACTATAAAGAACCTTTATCATCTCTAGCCCACTATTTAGCGCCACCAGGTTTGGGGTAATGATGTTAGTATCATTAGATTTATTATTATACACCTTTGACTCTGGCGTGGTACGTAGAAGATAGTCAATAAAATTACCATACTCGGCACGATTAAAAAAGCTGGGTTGGAAACGAGCACAAGTGTGTTAATTCGATCTCTGGCTGAGCGAGTGCTGTTCTGTTACTTATTACTACACACGCCTTGTCTACGTTACCTCTACAATTCTGTTCAGCGGCTGCCAAATGCTCTTGATGTACTGGGGTGATATTATCTGCAATTTGCTTTAGTGAACGTGTTGAGCTATTTAAGGCGATCTATTGTACAGTTGCTTTTTCTTCATTCATTTCGGACTATGGTCTTGCTCATGTGGTGCACTTTGTTTACTGGTACTGAAAGGTTTGATGAAGCGAATGGTGCTTTTATCTTAGTTTAGGATGGTCAGTAAATATTAACGAGTCAAATGATGTTAAATACTCATCCGCTTTTAAAAGCCCAGCTTAAAAATCATGCAATGCTTCCAATCGAAGTGGTTTTTTTTTTCGAGTGAAACGCCGACATAAATCGAAAGATGCAGTTAGGCCTTGTTTATTGTCTCACATGAGGTTTTCATCGCCGTTGGTCGTTTGTAGTTTTAGTTCCTGTTTATGTCAAATCCCATAACATATGACTTTTTAAATGTAGAAGTGAACACGCGTTTTGCACTCTAGCTTGTGATGAAGTAGTTTCAACTCATGTGTTAATACTTTGTACTGTGTTTGGCATATTATGTTCAAGTTCATGTATTATGCGGGCGTTTTAACTGTTTCTTTAGTATTGTTTCATGGGTTTGATATGATGATAATGATTACAACGACGACTATGATGATGATGATGATGATGATGATGATGATGATGATGAAAGCCCATATGTATGGCTCACAGCCATCTTGTCCCTTTCGTTTTTTTTTTTTGCGCAAAAAATAACGTACCCTTTACTTCTTTCTCCGCACTTGTCAATCGCAGGTCTACCGTGGTCCGAGCGGTGGCGCGAACGGGCGGAAAGCTGGAGAGCTGTTCCGATGACTGGAGCAGCGGTTGTGGCGGCGCGCCTACATGCCCTGGCGGCGTGAGGCGGCCATGCAGCAGATCGGTCAGCTGCCGCCCATGACCCAGGAGCAAGAAGTTCGCACGGCGCAGACGCCCCCCTGTGCGAACGGCCCCTAATGGTTCGGCCAGGCAAGATGGTTCGGGCCCAACGCCGCTGCAGCAGTGCAAGAAGCCAGGTGATAAGCCACTCTCCAGGGAGCTGCTGGAGACCCTTAGGCGAGAGTGCCTCGAGCGTAGTGTGTGTACAAGAGTGGCGCGGCTGCCCAGCGTGATTGAGAAGGCACCGCAGCCCATCAAACTGGAGACTCCTTTCTTCAAGACGGTGGAGCCGTCGGACGTTCACATTACTGAGACCCCCGCAACAGCCTCGTCCAAAACGGACAAGTCACATTTAAGGTCCCCATCGCAGACACTGCAGCAGAGTCTGCACCAACAAAACTGCCATCAGCACCACAACCAAATTGTCAGAATCCCATTGGCCAGCATTAGGCCCGGGAGTATTCGGAAGCACGGGAGTTCCCAGTCGGGACTTCGAGTGCCGAGGTCGTCGCCAGTGTCGGTGGAGCGTTCCCAGCGTCGGTCCAGCACGGGACTTTCATCCCCGCCTCCGCTGCAAAGTGCAGCGCAGTCTGCACAGCAACAGCAGCGGCATAACCAACAGCCACAGCGACATCGGGCTTCGGAGGAACGTCCTCAGGGAGAGGGCGACATGGTGTGCAAGAAAGACGAGAGTGAAGTGCGCGCAGGTGTTGCGAAGTGCAATTACGTGCTCAGCTGACAACTACGAAAACTTGTCTGGTGACGAGAGTCCCGCATCGCGTTCTCTGGAGGCATCCAACGTGGATCACAAGGCCATCGAACTTTTCCTGCCTCTCGTAGACGCCATGGAAGGCCAAGGACAGAACGATCACTCTGCTGGTGCTACAGTTGTCGCTTCGAAAGAGTTTTCCGAAAGTGCTTCTGGCGCCACCGAAGACTACGACGACCTGCCGGAGGAAGGCAGCCTCGTCATTGACGACGAAGGCGTAGATGGTGACCCGAGCGCACCTAGCGGTGCTGCCGTTTCGAATATTGCAGGTTCCAGAAAGGTGGGGTCTGGAACGAGGTTAAAGTGGCCACACGAGTCACCTACGGCTGTGACGTCCGAGCCACCGCATGAGGCATCGTCTAATTCTCCCGCGCCGAGGGCAGACCTCATCTCTGCGACCCGGAATCAGGTCGTCGACGACGCCACCAACGCCGCCTCAAGGTGGCAACTTCTGAAAGACCTAAAGAACAAAAGGTCCAAGTTGGTAAGTAAATGCATGAGCACTTTCACTGTCCTCGAACTCAATGTGAAGCCCTTCAAGGACGTTTAAAGCTATCTGCTTCGCCAGGTTTGGAAAACGGCGCACATTCAAAGGATGACCTACTTACTGGTCGCACAGCCTGAGAGGTATCTTTCCCAGGCACAACTAATTCGGGCGATGCCATATTTCCGTGTACGGTGGCGCGTCACCTTCTCACAACAAGCCTCCGCTGCGGCGCGTCCATGAAGGCTTTCTCTTTTCATTTCGCTAATGTTAACTCTCAGCACCATTTTGATATGTCAGTAATAACAATGTTTTCTATTTCTATGGGTGTAGCGTGCAAATTAGAACTAGAATAATATATATATATATATATATATATATATATATATATATATTATATATACATATACATATATATTCTAGATACTATTTTCTGTGACCCTACAGTCCTGAATGGACGAGAGAGCTCTACCTATCGAAGCATTGTCAACATCTTGCAAAGCGGAGCACTGAACGGAGTGTTTCAATGAACCAGCGTAGTTTTCGATCCTCGCAAACTGTGTAGTTATAACGTCACGGTTCTGCGAAGACTGTGGCCACCACTTGCGAGCAAGCGTCCGGAGGAACTCGGACAGGAGCGTCCAGGCTACGCTCATCCTCTTCGTTCACGAGAATGACTCCATGCTTTCAATGGCGTCAGCAAATTGTACTCTGCGTCATGAAGCCACCTTATGGACATCGACGCCAGGCTTGCCATTTAGGCTGAGCCAACCCATTCAGAATTATTGTTTTTCTCATACCTGTTTCTCCACCTTTATGATTGTCAATATTTTACTTGTGTGCGTCACAAAGCGAGAGAAAGATATACTAAATAGAAAGCTAACACGTTTGTCTTTTTTGTAAATAAGTTACTCTAAACTTAAACTTCAACTTTATTCTAGCATCCATAAATGGCACAGATAACGGGAACACAGACAAAAAGCCACATACCGTCTTGACGAGGTCTGTGCCCTTCCCCACCTCTTTTCCTTTTTTGGCAACAAAGAGTGAACGGGTAAGACCAAAGTCCAGTGTATAAATAGGCTTATGTACAAATAAAGAAAGAGCTTATGTGAGGGAAAGACATGGCTGAAAATGAATAAATAAATAAACGTTTCTGCAACATTCGAAAAATAATATAACTGTTCAACAAAGAGAATAAAAAAACGCTTGTATCTGAAACGCCGAACTGATTATTTACGGAGTTTCACGTCGATACACTTTAAGGCGCAAGGATATATATGAATGTACATAATACAGACCTCAGCATAATGAAAATTCAATAATGAATGTGGCAAAAATTAAAAAAAAAACATGTTGCCGTGGATCTTTTACATAATATGCGAGTTCATTGAAAACATTAAGATGTGTGGTCGGCACATTCAAATCCTCAGAAAGACTAAATGTGTTAATTAATTGAAAATATCAACAGCATATCCTCAGAGTGAATGATGATCAGTGGGGCGAAGCTTCTGAGGGCTTCATCGGCAGACCGTTAATCCACTGTCTGTCTGTCTGTCTGTCTGTCTGTCTGTCTGTCTGTCTGTCTGTCTGTCTGTCTGTCTGTCTGTCTGTCTTGTGTCTGTCTGTCTGTCTGTCTGTCTGTCCGTCCGTCTGTCCGTCCGTGCCGTCCGAGTGCTGCTAGTCTCCAAAGCATCGGTGTAGAGTGAGCTACCCCAGCGCCATCTAATGAGCAATCGAGTACTAGCGGAGCGATCGCCGCAGTGCCATCTAGTGAGCACTCCGAGTACAAGCGGTGGCCTCGATGGACGACGCCGCGGGACGCCCTAAGGAGCTTCGCCCCTAATAAATTAAGTAAATATCGTAAGACATGCGCTAGCAATTCTGTAAGTTGGAAAACACTTGTAAATACATAATGAAATGCTAGGTAATGTTCGTTCAAGATGCTGCGCGTTTTCTTACTCAGGCGTATTCGTAGAAACAAGCACAGTACTAAAGTGCGCACCTACGTATGCTGAAAAATGTATAGTTTAAAAGATCGTAAGCCATTCTTCCAAGTAATCGCCGAGTGATATTTGCATTCAAGTTTATTGCCGTGCGAAACGATTTCCTATAAAAATTTCTTGAGCTTGTCCACCTAACAAGAGCGAAGTGTGAGAGACTTGTCGCATGCTTTAAACACTTTCTCTTTCGTCTCAACGAGCGGCCCCGCCGCGGTGGTCTAGTGGCTAAGGTACTCGGCTGCTGACCCGCAGTGCGCGGGTTCAAATCCCGGCGGCGGCGGCTGCATTTCCGATGGAGGCGGAAATGTTGTAGGCCCGTGTGCTCAGATTTGGGTGCACGTTAAAGAACCCCAGGTGGTCTAAATTTCCGGAGCCCTCCACTACGGCGCCTCTCATAATCATATAGTGGTTTTGGGACGTTAAACCCCACATATCAATCAATCTCAACGAGCGTGCTACAGAGAGATATATAACACGGGGAAAAAAAGCACGCCAGGGCACGTGATGCAACGCGATAGCTCTCTCCAATGGACCTTTACAGAAATCGCAGCGCCGTGCCTACCCATGGCGGATCAGGGCTGGAGCATAATGGGAAAGCGGAGCGCCGAGCAGGCAAAGCAGATGACGCTTTCCCTCTTTCGCCTGCTTTCGCCTGCTTTCATCGCGTTCTCTGAGTGGTTTTGGCTGGCGTAAGGTGCTGCTATCGTGAAGACACGGCTACTTCTGAGTGTTCCGACTTTCATGCTCTTCGACAAGGTTGTAGTGCTCGCCACAAATAGCCAGAATCATCACCAGAACATGCCGAAGAAAAAGAAAAGTGGTGGACAAACCTGCTCTGTTCGTGGGTGTCATAAGACGCGAAAGACATTGGACGTTTCGTTTCATTGCTCAGGGCTATTTAAGGACTTGAATTTTTGCCATGCTGCATCTAAGTTTGATCTTTGTCAAGATATTCCAGTTCTAGTTCACTGCGTAATATTACGGAGCGGGGGTTTCACCATTGAAGCATACCACGTAATACGCAAAGTTATAGAGGTGACACCGTTAGATGCCTCATTAAGAAATCAGAGGGTCCCTTGCGCATTCACCTAAGAGGACACGAAGGTGAACATCATCTCGCTTTTATTGTCGGCCAATGTGCAGAGCCTGCCCCGCCAGTCCATGAGTGCCAGCAGGTTGGCACCATGAGTGCGAACCCGTTTTGCATCGCGGCTGGGGGAGAGCACTGGTGTAGCTTGGGCAAGTGCTGGCGTGCCATGAGTAGGGTAGGTGACCCTTTTGCACCCCCTGCCGAGGCTCACGCCCACCTCCATCCACAGCACCTTTCGAAAAATTGCTGCACATAATGAGGTTTCGCATTGCCTCCCTGATCAGACCACCTTGAACAATCTCGGATATCACGTGATGACATGATCACGTGAAGTCGCATGACGTTTTAAGGGTTTCACAATTTTTGGCGGTGTCTGACGCCTTATATGTTGTCACCACGTGATGATTTTTCGCATCACTCGATGTCGTCGACGCGGGACACAAATGGTCAAGGAGGAGGAGGAGGAATAAATGAGGAAGGACGGAGGTTGGCCAGTTCTCAGACCGGCTGGCTACCCTGTACAGGGGAAGGGGGTAAGGGGGATAAAGGATGAGAGAAAAGAGACATTGTAAAAAAAGGAGAGAGAAGGTCATCAGACTATCCACGACGCTGCTTACAGTCTGTCTCTAAGACCACTTGCCCGCAGAAAGCGGAACAACGCTCTCAATGCCTTGCGTGCAGAGGACGGTCTCGGCCAGTGTCCTAATATCCTTTCTTCCGACAATTGGCGATTGTCTATTCTATCTAAAGCTTTCGACAGTTCTTTTCTTGGCACGCTGAAGCGAGGACACTCGATGAGAAGATTGGAGAAAGTCTCTGCGCAGCCAGAGTTGTCACATGTCGGGCTGCTGGCCATTCCGATTCGAAACGAATAAGCAGTCGTAAAGGCCACCCCGATCCACAGACGGCACAAAGGCGTCTCCTCTGCTCTGGTTATTCCTGATGGAAGACGGAGCTGTAGGTGTGGGTCCAAATTATGAAGGCGGACGTTGGTGAAGGCCGGTTAATTCCCCTGAGTGAGTGTCAGTTCTCGTGCAAGTGATCGAAGCCTTGCAGCGGCGTCCGTTCTTGATAATGGTATAGCTACACAAGGGACATCATCAGTAGCAGTTCGGGCTGCTTCATCTGCACGGCCGTTTCCATCAATGCTGCAGTGGCCTGGTATCCATTGATACGCTATTTCATGTTGTTTCTCTATAGCCCGGTGATGAAGCAGTCGTATTTCAGCAATTAGCTGTTCGTTTGGTTCATGACGATATGGCGAGGCAATGCCCTGGAGAGCTGCTTTGGAGTCGGAGAATATTGACCATGTCTCTTGCGGTTCTTCAACTAGGAACTCCAGAGCGGCACGAATGGCGGCGAGTTCTGCCGCCATGAATGATGTCAGATGCGAGGTCCTGAACTTTATCGTGATGGATTTCTCCGGAAATACCACTGCGCCTGTTGAACTTGTTGAAGTGACCGACCCATCCGTGTAAATGTGAATGCGTCCACTGTGTTTCTCATGCAGAAACAGTAATGTTGTTTGTTTTAGGGCCAAATTTGACAAATTTTTCTTCTTTTGCAGTCCGGGGATGGTTATCAGGGCTTCCAGTGGATGTAGACACCACAATGGTACCGACGGTCTTGCTGCGTGCGTGAAGTTCGTGGGAATCACCGTGCGATGTGGGGCAATAATAGAGCAGAACGCAGAGGGTGGCCTGGAAGTTGGAAGGGAGGCGAGGTGATGCGATTGAATCCGGGTGGCATGTCTTATGTGCGTTCGTAAAGCATCGACACGAATGTAGGTTGTGATAGGGTGTTCATGAGCGATTGCGACAGTCGCTGCTGAGGATGCGCATCTCGGCAGCCTGAGGCATGTTCTTAGTGCTTGGGCTTGTAATGACTGGAGGACGTGTACGTTTGTTATGCGGGTCTTGCCAAGCACAGGTAGGCTGTAGCGCATTAAGCCAAGAAAACGTGCAGCATACAGTTGAAGCATGGCTCGTACGCAAACGGTCAAGTTTAACGTTTGATGAGGCACCTATACTTCTCGCCTAAAACCAAAATTTTTCTTCGGCATTCGGTGGCGGTGGCGTCAACAAGAGCGACGCGAAAATTATCGCGTCATCGCGTCCATAGAGTTTCCTAAAATTAACTAGAGGAGAGTCTGGCGCTGCGATTGTTCAGTGACCATGGGAATGAGGGGAAGTACACACATTTGCCTAGTCTTTGTACTTGCGGCTTCGTTTGTTGCTGTGTTTCGGTTGTGTTTTGCAAAAAAAAAAGATTCAACCCTTTTGAACTTCGTGACCTGATTTGGAAAGGTAAGTCTAAAAGAATAATATGGTGAAGCGCAACCGCTGAGCATTTGCTAATATTTGTTTCGTAAGAAAACAGCTCCAAGCCACACGAACACACGGAGCCAAAAGCAGGCCAGAAGTACGAATATTAGACAAATGCGTGTACTACCCATCATTCCCATGCTCGCTGAAGCGCCGTGCGTTGCAGCTCCCATAGACACTAGCGCCAGAGTTCCCTCTAGTGTAAACTCTATGATCGCGTCACCATAGGACGCCATCGTGACGTCACGGATCACAGAATGTGTACGGTCACACCCCTTACACATTCCGTAACGTTCTGGACCTTACACATAATGTGTAAAGTCATCATAATGATTTAGTGATGACGTCATCACACGATATCGTCGCTTTGCGCTGCCTGTGTGATCGGCCTATACCAATCACGGAGACCGAGAAAAACCAGGTGAGGTACTAAATGTTTGGAATGCCTCCGCTTATAGAACCAGTGCAAAGCCACTTTAGGTGCGGAAAACCTGCGGATGGGTAGGAGAAGAAGCATTAAACCGACTGAATAAAAAAAAAGAAAGAGATGGCTTTCGCCTTCAAGTCGTCTTGGGTAAATTCATAAAAAAAACACTGCGAGATTTTTTATTGCAGTGTTACTTAGTGCTTATTTTGCTGTTTACTGCTTGGTTATCTCCAATTGTATCTGCTTGTTATTCACCATAAAACTAGAGGCCTCAAGTATTGTGGCTGCGCGCACTTCGGGCTTTTTTTTTTGGGTGGGGGGGGGGGGGTTCTCTGTGTCAAAGCAGAGTGTGCTAGGTGTAGTTTCATTATTACGGATACAGGAAGCGATACTCGCAGTCTGGTAACGTTGCCAACTGATGTAAGCACTGCTGTGGTATTCTATACATTTCCCACACTGAATGAGCCTTCCACCATTGCTTTTGAAGTCACAGTCTCACCATGAGCAGCCTTACACAACATTACTTATCAACGTTTTCTGGCTTAAACATGCTGTGCCCAGGCACTGAGTGTTTATTACCATCATGAGAGTGCTATATTCTGCAGAATGTTCGCTTCTGAATACGCCCGAAGCGAGTCCTTCAGATGTTCTGTTCATGGCCGTTTTGGCAAAGGTTACAGGAACGCCTGTATGTTTTCTGCGGCTTGGAGAGCCATCTGCATCGAAACGACGATTTACTAAATTAGCATAATCATGAACTGCAATGATACAAGGGATGGAAACTCAAGCAGTGAAGTAGAATATTGTGTACATTGTGCACACTAACGCCCATTCTGTTATATATTTCTTTCCATTGTTACCCTTTGTGCAGTCAGGTGGTAAATTTTTGTGTTCTTAACGGGAACGACACAGAGACAGTATGTTTTACGCTGTTTTACAAGAAATACTGCGAAATCAAATGTGCAGAATGTTCTCGCTTTATGAAGTGCGACAGTGTGCTGTAACTGTGTAATCTGCGCACACTACGGTATATACTCACTTGATGTCCGCTTTATGGGCGTGATGGTAGCCGGTTTTTACTATACTCTCAGTGTCCTAAATGCAATGTTTTTCAGGCACAACGTTTGAAACATGGAATTAGAATTCTAATCCACCAGCATAGTGGGGCTCGAACCCATTTATAGGGGTCGGATTTTTACATTGATTATCATGTTCGAAGTGCCACGATCTTGCACCGCGTATCACGCGGAAGCATATTGCGAGTGATAGCGCTTAACACAAAGTACTAATAGTAAATGTGTACGGCCATGCTAAATATAAAGCAAAAAAGAAAAGCTTCCGCTACATGAAAATACGACGAACGAAGCGAATGGGCTCGCCGAGAAAGCCGAGTAATAATTTCCGATTCAATGGGCCCTTTCGCTGGTGCATTAGCATTTTCCCGGGTCTCTAATAAGTTTGCTGACTTTGTGTTGCTTTGCGTTTTGCCTCTTCTATGAGTGCAGATTGAAGCAGGGTTGTCACGCGCGATATTCCCGCAAGGATGCGTTCGTACGCCCGCGCGCTGCCGGAAACAAGGCGAGCCAACGCTTTCCGCGAGCAGACGACACTGCGCCGGCGCTCCGGCTTCCCATAATGCTTTGCGGCCAGCCTAGGTGGCGTGCGCCAATTTCTGGAAAAGTCCATTGTGATAACTTGAGCGCTCGTATGGCTACTGTGTAGCATTTGAAAGAGATATGTGTAGCCCGAATGAAACACGGAGACGAGAAGGCACTTAAGGACATCACGTGCACCGTATACTGCAACAACACAGCATGTTTATTTCCAAACTCATACCACTTTTAAGTCACAGTTGCCAGGCAGACGGAGCACCACGTGGGATCACCGAGATATATTCGGCCACAATGTCGTCTACACAAACGAAATCATAGCAGATAATACCATGGTGTCGCCGCTTACGCCGGAAACCCAGCTCCTTACAGGTGACGATACAATCGAAGACTTGCTGATGCAAAAATCACAAGAGTGCGTCGATAAAGTACGGCTTTCACGATCAAACGTATCATCTCATCCTCATGCCGATCGACAATGACTGTAATTGGAACAAAGGCCGGCAACAACAGGCATGAACGCGAAGAATGAAGAAACCTTCCAGCGGCAGTTTATTCGACCTGTAACTGTGCTCTCTCAGTCGTTCAAGTCACGCATATACTGCTTTGACCGACATATTGTTTTCCCTAATGAAAACGGAATACGTACGATGAGGAACGATCTGCACTCAACAAATGTGTGTGTGTGTGTGTTGTGTGTGTGTGTGTGTGTGTGCACGCGTGC